TCCCCCTTTTTTCACATAAGTTATATATGGTAATGCAACCCTGAAACTACTACTAGAAATCCTGACTTCACATACATACTCCTAAGTCTGTAATGATAATCACAAAGCAATAGACCTTGGTTCTATGATGGATAGCTTATTTAAAACACCAATTCAATGTACTTCTGTGAAATAAAGGTTAGTTTTATGCTAACTCTCATTAGAAAAACACATTAAAATGTGACTGCCAATGTCCTAATTTCTTGGGCTATTGTACAGTTCTTAAGAGACATTTTGTCTTTGTAAAAAAGATGACTAAATTGGGGCATGATAGAGATTAACAATCATGTGTGACTTGAAAAAAGTGAAGAGGCAGTATTAAAACTCAAGGTCATCTTTTGAAATGAAATGTAATAATGATTCAGGACTGCCAAAATGTCACATTGAATTGTCCCTTTAAAATGGGTATAGCACTTGAGCTTAAGTTCCTGTTTCAAATACAGAACCTTGCTCTCAATATGCATATTAGTATCAATTTTGATTTTTTAATGGGCAAAGGCACAAGAAATCCAGCAACATTCAAACTATACAAAATTCCACACCCACCTCTCAATATCAAGCAGGTGAATTAAATTACAAGATCTCACTCTACTTGGCCAACCACACATTTTCAGCTCACATGAAAGCATGAGATGTTGCTTTACTTGCCTCCATCCTCCTGGAGGACGAAAAGAGGAGGTGCTGCCTGCACACACGAAAAGGGACAAGTGGGGACAAGAATGGAATGGCTTAGTGGTAATGCCAGGTGATTTTGTACTACATAAATGAGCTCAATGCTCCATTTCTGGTTTAACAACAAAGTATGGCTCACAGTTGCATCCAAACTGGACAAATTATAATCTGGACAAACCAGAGCACTGCTAATGTTGTTCAAACATAGTCTGGATTCTGAATGAAGCAAGTCAATATGAAGAACTAGAGGAAGTACTTAAACACATACAGTAGATATTCATTTAAATCTTCTGGAGGATATTGTGAAGATTGCATACTAGAAGTTGATCAGAAGCAATACATCCGTTAGTAAGTAACTCAGTGAACTTACCAAAGGAGTAATCACAAGATATCAGATGTAGAATAGTTGGAGGGAGAATGCATTTATCACAACACAACACACAAACCAGGTATTCTGCTTGCTGAATGTAAACACAGGATGTCATCTGGCACTTTCAGGAAAACTGACAATATTCAGAAAACATGATTACCAAATGGAGGACCCCAGCTACGAAATTCAGTGGGCAGAAAGGTAAGGACCAAAAACATTATCTCCAATTTTAGTTTATACTGAAGCACTTTAAGAAACAGACCTAAATAACTGCAGAGGCCACATACACAGTTTACATTTTATAAAATATAAATTTTATCTCGCAAATAAAATGGCTAGAAAAACTGTTTTCTATGGGTTAGTCCCTAATAGTTTTCCACTGTAAGGTTCCACTCTGATTTAACTCCTGGGAAAAAACCAGGATACCACACTTGCTTATTTTAGCTAGTGGACAGAGACATATCTGGCAGGTACCCAAAGCCCTTGGTACATCCACCCTGAGCCCTGTGGCCAGATTATATATACTGTCTAATGCAACAGAATGTAGAAATTATTAAATATGTGAGGAATAATCTTTATAAATATATACATTTATTTTTCTTGCGTGTAAGTTAAATGGAATCAAACTCACGTTTGGCCTTGGTCCCACCAATGTTTTCAGACATGACCTCTGTCATGCCACTCAATGGCCAAGTGCTGCCCTATTCTCTAAAAAGCCTGAGGACTTTAGGCTAGTGCTATGAGTGACCCAATGCCCCTTCCAATCCTCAGCAACTCTGAGACAAAATTTATTTCACTTTGCTTTGCTTTATTAAATAGAAGTAAAGTTCTCAGTTCGTAGTTCATTTCTGCTGTCCAGTGAAGGGTCTAGAGCAGAGTTCTTAACTGGGATCCATGGATAGGTTTCTGGGGGTCCATGAAGCTGAGGGGAAAAAAATTAAAATTTCTTTTCACTAGCATCTATCTGAAATTTAGCTTGCCTTTATAAAGAATCAATCTATCAGTAAAGAAGTCCATATATTACTACATTACATATTTGTAATTTGGATAATTGCATATGAACATTATTGGTTTCCTTTGTAATACAATCTATATATATTATATTTTATTTTAGGCATTTAAATATGTTTTTCTGCATTTAAATCTGGATCCACCAAATCCCAAGGACCCTTGGCAATTCAAAAATAAGATACATAAGAAACAACAGACAACAGACAAAAAGCAGACAGATAAAAGGTCCACAAACTAATGAAAACATAGATTATCTAAACCAAACCGTATCCCAACCAAGATGAAATCTAGGCCCAAATACTCTCTGTAAGAGCTGTGTTTTGGGCAGCTTCCAGAAGACATGGAGTTGGCCTGAATGTGGGCACATGCTTGTGCTCAGTCAGATTCACTTCTTGACTTGCTCTGCTCATGTTCTAGGCATTGCTCCTGTCACTTCCTTACCCAGAGGCTCAGCAAACCAAGAAGTCATCTGGGATCGGCTAACAGAGAGAGGCCACTTGGGGGCAATTTCATCAAAATATGGATATTAAATATTTTTAAAGAAGCCCATAATTGTGCGTGTCAGTAGGGGGCATTTCTTTTTCACTTGGCAAATGCCTTTAATGAAAACACAGTTCAGAAAAATGGGTACTGTTCATACTCACTTATGGCCGCTGCAGTTGTACTGGGCTTTAGAAATATTCAGAAGCTCCAAGAATATTCACAAATGCTAAGTACTCTGTCAACCAAATGTAATGCCTAAAACATGATCTCTCATCCAGAAAACACATGACTGACAGCTAGAATATATTTGGTCAGGTTACCAATGCTTTCACTGAGAGCCAGTGTAGTATAGCGTAGCGATTAAGATGCTGGACTGGGAGCAGGAAGACTCAGGTTCTAGTTGTCCCTTAGGCATGCAATGATCTTGGGCCAGCTATTCCCTTTCAGCCCTAATCAGTGCCGCGCAGTGCAAAAACAACCATGCAGGACAAGCGCCAAGAAAAACCACCGCCACCACCTCCACCAATGCTTCAGCCAGTGTTCCATGCTGAAGACCGCGTGAAATAATTTTATGAACAATCAGCTGCTTTTAAGAACTACATTGATAATGGTCCCTGAGTTCATTTCACCTTATTGAAAAAAGGGACATCTTATGGCAGTTAATATTTCACTATTTATTTACATTATTTGTATGCTGTCCCAACCATAGACTTCAGCAAGTTTACAGCAATCAGTAAAAAACAGCATAGAAACATAAAAATGACACAAAATGACCCATGCATATAAAATCAACATTAAATTAAACAATTACTGGGCACCATATATAACAATATCCTACCCACCCTACTCATGCTTCAGAAGCCTAGCAGAAGAAGACTATCTTCACCTTTCTCCAAAATAATGTCAAGGAGAGGGCCATCCTGATTTGGGGGGAGAGTCTTCTATAGAGTCAGAATGGCCACAAAAAACCCTATTCCCATGACTCCATTCCTCTGACCTCTCACAGCATACCATCCCAGGCAGAACGCAAAGGATGGGCAGACTCTCATCCAAAAAGATGGTCTTACAGGGAACAAGGACATAAAGGGCTTTATGGGTATCGAGCAGCACTTTGAATTGTACCCAGAATCCTACTGGTAACCAACGCAGCTGCTGCAAAATTTTCTGTTTTTCTAGCAGTTCTGGCCTTCATCCAGAGAGGACACTTACTTACATGTATATCAGAACAACATGTCTACATCCATCCAACCTCCTGTTAAAAGCTGATAGTATGTTTCTGCTTTGCTAACGAGCTCATTACAGTGCAACCTACATTGACAAGGAACTATTAACAAGACATAATTTTAGATTAATGGATTCTTAAACAGGCAATTGCCAAATATTATTCATCATCTGATCTAGCAGCACATCCTGATTCAACTGAGACCTAAATGTACATCCCACTCCTTGCTTTACTGATAATTAGGAGTCTGCAAATCATTCAGCAAGACATTTCCCCAGCTGCATCAGCAGAACGTCTGTGCCCAGGAGATCTCGACAAGACCACAAAGCAGCCACACCAAGCCTTTCAGCAGTTGTCTCATAGCTTTGAGGAATGGGTCCAGAAGGGTGCTTCACATTATTTGCTCAGCTATTATAGCATATCATATAAATTAACAATTATTGTATTGATAAATGAGGAAAATAGTTCTAATGGACACAACAACAATTAAAAGGAATAGGAATACAGATATGCACAGATAAGAGTTTTTTAAAAAGAGAATCCAGGCATAAGAACATTATTCAATGGCTCCCACCAAAAAAGAAATAAGCAATCATACAAAGTTCAAGTTCCAGGCATTTCTCAATGCAAACCAAAGTTTGTGGAACCCCCGCCCCCCCACTAACAGGATTTATTAATCACAATAATGAATTCTTCTTACTAATAGTGTAAATCTCATATGAGCATTCCATACAAAAATCTAATTTTGTACTCTTAAATCATGAAGATAATTTGTTCAGAGGAGGCACCAAAGCTGACCTGACTTGCTAAAACTGAGTGTCATCAACTGCTGAGGGTGGATTTCCATCAGAAGCATCTGCGTAACAAAGATCCTGAAAGAAACTGAGGGTACAAGCAATTCAGCTGTTTAAATATATAGAATAGAGGTGCATATTCCACCTGTTCCCCCTTATTGGGACAGATCTCATGGAGCTCATGCAGCCCAGAAAAAGATCCTGTACAAAGCAACACAGCTAAAACCCATATTTTAACATACTCCAGGCATCATACACCAATCACTTTTTAGGAAGCCCTTTAAAGGAGAATTCCCCCTCTAAAATAGAGAAGAAATAAAATTCACTCCCATATTCATGAAGCACGGTTTAAGCCCAACATCACTGACCAATCAAAAATAGTGAACGCACTGCATCTCTCTGCAGTGAAGGGAAGAGACAAGGTAGCTTGTCATTCTGCACAAGCTTCCCGAATGAGCTTTTCTAAGCAGCCAAGCTGCCCTTCTTCCGAACGACTGAACCTCTGTGTCGTCTCTGGAGACAAGAAGCTTTCAGTATGTTAAATTACTTTCATTATGCATTTGCAGATGCTTATTGATTCTACAGTAGGAAGTGGGAGACTGCAGCAGGCTCTAAGAACAGCATTACATGCTGTAGGCATGAACCAAACGCTGAAACAATAGCCCAGCGCAAACACAAATTTCCACTAAGGCCACATTTTGGAAAGATGCTTTTTACTCTCCTCCCCTGCACTCTGCTAACAAGTGAAAAAACAAAACAAAACAACACCACAATGAATCCCTCCAACCTGGAACTGCTCTACCATCTTCGGGAATTTACTCAGTCCTCACTAGAGGTAAGGTACATTCCTTATTACAATTCAGAGCCTTAGCAGCATCTAAGGAACGAGGTTGGTGAAGGGGGAAAGATTACAGGTTCAGCTTAAAATTCTGGTTTGACTTCTTGTTCTTATGTTTGATGACACCCGTAATGTTAACATTCCATTGTCAATTTTACAAGGTACATGCTTCATCTGGGGATGTAGAAAAATGGAAGATTACTCTATTTTTGCCAAAATGCTCTTCAGAGACAGTGTAGTTTGAGTTCTAGCTGCTAAGTATTTCTTATGACAGTTAAAAGGGGCTTTCATCAAGGCCATGGTAAAATTATTGGACAACCCCATGTATCACCAATACATTCCAATAATCCACAGTTAGCTGCTTCTTTGTGGAAGATGGGTTATGTGGCAAATCCTCAATTGCTTGATAGGAAAAATAAGGTTCTGTTTGTTGGTGTATTACTCTTAAATGCTTCGTTACTGAAGATATGTCTGAATAAGTGTAATGTAAGTAAGTTTATATACAGTAAGGAATTCAAAAGGTATGTGCAAAATAGGCTAGTTAAAAATTCTGTGAAGCAACTGAGCCTTTTACAAGACCACAAGCGTTTTGTTAAAAGCTCCTTTTCATAGCACTGTAATTACAAATGCATTAAGAAAAGATTACACCCTTCTTACTGCTATCATCCTCTGTTTTCAATGCCATCTTTAAATACATCCAATTTAAAGGATCAAACTGAGGAGATCTGTAGAGGGGGAGAACAAACCATATTTGGAAATACTTCAATCTTCTTAATGTTGCAAACTTCCCACCCACCCCCCAAAAAAGGCACTGCATATTGTTCACATGGTTTTCATGAGTGATAGATAATACTGCCATTGATCACTTTCTTCAAATTAATCTTGAATCTTTATTTTTAACTTTTCTCCCCCCTCTGAAGGTTTTCATCATTTACTTCAGCTTGGTTTCTGACTACATGAACAATACAGCTACCTGGGAATCTTAATAGCACTCACTGGTCCCACAAGTTTCAAGATATGCTTATAGTAGAGACGTCAAAAGAGCAAAGGCATGGACACCTAAACTATATCTTGCATGATGGATAGTGCAGTAGCATACGTGGCTTATCAAGAAGTACCTGTTCAAATGGAAGTACTAATACAATGGCTTATTGCTAAGGTACAATGGTGAACACGTCTTATAGATGGAATTATAATGAAAAACCATACAGCCAATGAACGAAGAAACAGTAAAACAAAATTTCCCCAAAAGGAAAACCAGCAAGCTAAAAGTAATTCCAAACTGATTTAATATCTCTGTACATGTTACTTGGGTCACTTGCTTACAAGGACTAAAGTTTATGGAAACTACAACTAGGATAAACCAGCTGACATGGTCCATGGCATGGAGAACTTGTATTAATATTTACAGCATCGATTTTTGTTATAAAACCAGTAACTGCAGTCTAATGAGCAGAAAGACTCTCAAAACCAATTTAAAACTGTTATGGGGGGACATCAGAATAGATCTTTGAAGCCGGTGACGTGGTATCGATTTATGTTTTACGCTACTTCAGGGAATTTTTAAAAAATGGTGCCAACCCCCCCCCAAAGGATAAGAAATTATGAACCACTTACAAAGGTGCTGCTATCCCCACCGGTTGCTTGAAAAAGAAAAGTAACGTGTCTACACCAGAATCTGGTCTGTAGAACTTTACCAGGCAATTAAGTCTTTGGGGGTGTTCTGTGGTGGTGGTGGTTTTTAAACTGCTGCTGAAGTGCTGGAACAGAAAGAAAACTAAAATATTCCACAAGGCAGGAAACAGATCACAGTCATTTCTGTGTTGCCAAGTGAAAACGCCTGTCAAAATCTGTCAGCGACACCATGTATGAATTTATGACAAGCTGCTATAGTGAGCTGAAAGACCCTTGAGGCAACCGAAATCAGGTAGGTCAGAAGCTTTGTGCACGCAACCTCTGTTTAACGTTTACCAAAGAACAGAGCCGAGTCCTGGAGATACATTTCATTTTAATTATCTTCCCCCCTTGACATTTCTGCTTTTATTTAACTGAACATCTGACTGATACAACTTGATGTTTAATCTTCTGTTGAAGAGTTGGCACATGGAAAATTTTCCATTTTTGTTAAGATTTCACTTTGCATGTTCCTGCAGCTTCTTCTTGCAAGATAAGCTAGGTTATGGCTTGCTTCATCTTACCCACTCCTACTCTTTCTCAGTGTCTTGTTATCCAGCGTAAAAGAATATAACTTACAGTGCATTTAGCATGGCTGTTGAAAGTACTTGTGATTAAGCCCCCACTAAGTGGTGATACTCATGGCTATTCTGTGTTTATTTTCATATTCAAAGTTACAACAATAAGAAATCACTGTTTTTAAGAAATACCTCTTAATAGTGATAATTCCAGCTGAAATAATTCAAATTTATAATTTCTTTGGTTTATTTTAACTGAACAGATGTTAATTTTATTGTTTGAACAATGATGGCATGAAACACCCAGGGCAAATAAGTCAAATTCTCATTCTGCAATCCTACACATATTTCTTTTGGAGTAAGCCCCTCTCACTTTAGTGGGACCTAAACGTAAATAAACATTAGGCTGCCCCAGTAGTATGCTGAGTGTATTAAAATAGGTTAACCTATCAGTAGCAATACATTGTCAGGCATCTGATAGAAATATTTCATACTGTTATAATAAAATGCTGCGGGTGTGGTCATAGCATAAGCTCTAATGTTGCAATTACTTTTTCACCAAATTATATTCAGACTTTTATATTATACTTTAGAACCAATAGACAAATATATATCACCTATTTCCCTCTGTCAACAATAGCCCCACCATTGTAAACATGCCTTCTCGCCTAATTAGGTAACAAAAATATGTTATGATTAGATTCTCTTGCTTCATGCAGCTCCATAATTTGACAATATAAAAGCACTCTCTGCTAGCAATTTAAAATCTCCTAGAAGAGAATACACTAATATAGTACATTTATAGGAATATAGTACATTTATACTATACAGCAATGGTATAAAACAGTAGGACCATGCACTGGGTATCTATAACATTTATTTCAGTTTCTTATACTGGTCTGTAGCATTATATACACATGTACATTTACAGTTGTATGCATTTTAATATACGGAAATGTATAATAAAGGCAGGTAATTTCCCAGTAGAAAATGGAGCTATTAATGAAAAGTAAGGCTTATAGTTATAATCCTAATTTTAAAGATTACAGCATTTTATAAAATCATTTATGTAAAGATTTTACCCTGATTTTTAATCAAAAGAGTTCCAGAGCAATTTTAGAAAATCAGGATAGAGTTTGCATTCAGAGGGAAAAAGAAGAATTTTTATTTCTTGCACATGTATAACCATCTCCTTTCCCTCTACCTATCTACATATCCATCCATCCATCCATCCTAAACATGGAATCCAAAGCTAAGCATGCATTTAATGTGCACCACAAATGTTGTCCTTATCATTTAAAAAAAATAAGTACAACCTCTAATTCCCGAAACCAAGTAATAGTGTATATTTGCTGGCAAAAAAAATATATATATTTTTCTGCAGATAAGCAAAAAAAAAAAAAAAGAGTGTTCCAAATCAAACAGCTTCATATCTTCTTTCTCTTCTTTCAGAGCAAAACAAACTTCCAAGAAAAGGATGTGTTTCTCTTCCGCCCCAGAAGCCAACATGCAGTCTGAATCTAACATTACTGTTCGAGATGCAGTCAGTGACACTGACCCCAATATGTACCAGCCACTGTCTTACCCATTAAGCTTTCAAGTTTCTCTCACTGGATTTCTGATGTTAGAAATTGTTTTAGGACTTGGCAGCAACCTCACTGTATTAGTACTTTACTGTATGAAATCCAATTTAATCAACTCTGTCAGTAATATTATTACAATGAACCTTCATGTTCTTGATGTAATAATTTGTGTGGGATGTATTCCTCTAACCATCGTTATTCTTCTGCTCCCGCTGGAGAATAATTCTGCACTGATCTGCTGCTTCCATGAGGCTTGTGTGTCCTTTGCAAGTGTTTCCACCGCAATCAACGTGTTTGCGATCACTTTGGACCGATACGACATCTCTGTGAAACCTGCAAATCGGATCTTGACTATGGGAAGGGCTGTAATACTCATGACATCAATCTGGATTGTTTCTTTTTTCTCATTCTTGATTCCATTTATTGAAGTAAACTTCTTCAGTTTTCACAGTGCCAACACATGGGAAAACAAGACGCTCTTGTGTGTTAGTGCCAATGAATACCACACAGAACTGGGCATGTACTATCACCTTTTGGTACAAATCCCCATCTTCTTCTTCACTGTCGTAGTGATGCTTATTACATATAGCAAAATACTTCAGGCACTTAATATCCGAATAGGAACAAGATTTTCCACAGGACAGAAGAAGAAAGCAAAAAAGAAGACTATTTCCTTGGCTACACAACAGGAAACGACTGATGCACCACAAGGCAGCGGAGGGAGAAATGTAGTCTTTGGTGTAAGGACTTCTGTTTCTGTTATAATTGCTCTACGGCGGGCTGTAAAGCGACATCGCGAACGACGGGAAAGACAGAAGAGAGTCTTCCGAATGTCGCTGTTAATCATTTCAACTTTTCTTCTCTGTTGGACACCAATCACAGTTTTAAACACTATAATTTTATGTTTGGGCCCAAGTGACCTTTTGGTAAAGTTGAGATTATGTTTTCTAGTCATGGCATATGGAACTACCATCTTTCACCCTCTACTGTATGCCTTCACCAGACAGAAATTTCAGAAAGTTCTGAAAAGTAAAATGAAAAAACGAGTTGTTTCAATAGTGGAAGCTGACCCAATTCCAAACAGTGCTGTTATACACAACTCATGGATTGAGCCTAAAAGAAACAAGGCCATCACTTTTGAAGACAATGAAGTAAGACAGAAGTGTTTAGTACCTCAAGTTGTCACAGACTAGATTTCTGTATCCACTGGATTATTTAAGAGGAAACATCAAAAATAAATCATTACCGCCAAATACAGAGATTTAAAAACAAAGGAAACAATATAAGCCAGACTGTAATTGTTTGACATGCATTAGACAGATTAGACCTGTATATTTATTTCCTCATTATTCAAGATGTGTGTTGCATGGCAGTTTGTTAGCGTAAAATCATGGTTATATTTTGTCAATACTCTGTCCTCTAATATACATTTAAGTAAATATTTTCTAAAAAGAAAAGCCTTAAAATAGTGTTCACTTTAAAAAATGTTTATTTTGCTCTAAATATTTAAAGCTTTGTTTTTAAGGTTTGTACCACAGAAATAGTGCACATCAGTAAAGTTTTTAAATTTTACTAACTGCCTTATTCCGGCACAGTATACAGGTTTCTGACAATGAATTGAAAACTTTTTCTCAACTACAATTATAAACTTAAAATTATAGCTATGTGCCCCAAGTACCCAAGTGATCACCACCAGCTTTGTGAGTTCAAGGTACTCTATTATTTTGAGCCACCACAAATGCCTTTACAAATAGTTTTCATCAAAAGAATATAATGAGGTTTGGTTTTTTTTAGTATGAGAATCAGCCTGAGAGAAGTTTGATTTTAAATGAGTTAAAAGCTATTGTATAATAAGAAATTTCTAAACTGTAACTATTTTGAATTCTTTCTAAATTTCTGTTTGGGCACATGAATGAATTTATCTACTGGTTGCGTGTTTTGAGGGATTCTTCAAGTGCATATACATCAATATCCCAATCTAGAAATATTGTTCTTATATACTGCTGAAGTGCTTGTTCACATTTCTAAGCAAATTGAAGTTGATGACCAGAAGTATTTTCCCAAATCAAAAACCTGTCCAAAAGAAGAAGAAATGCCAAGGTTGTTTGGCTACTTTTCCATATTTATCATATCTGACTTTTCCAAAATCACTCCACATTTTAAATGTCTTCTGTGCTCCACATAAAAATTTACTCAGACAAAATTATAGTAATTTTGCAATACTGTATCCCCCCACCCCCCAGCCACCTTTCAAATCCTTTCTAAAGTATTGTAGGATCAAACTATCAGATGAGGATTATTTTGCACAGAACGTTAGAAGGCATATCTGAGCCTATCCAAACAATTAATTTGTACTGCAATGTTTCCTCATCCATTTTAAATAATACATGCTCATCTGTCAAAAAAGCTGCCTCTTCTTGTTCAAGGAACAAAATCTGTTTGCTATCTAACCTTTATGAAAGAAAAGGACCTACACAATATCCTACTTATCCTTATCCTGCTCTTTATATTATCAAGATATAATTCTTACTCTTATGAACTGGGCAGGGTTAGCATCTGAAATAGTAGTTTATTACAACATCTAACTGTAATCATCTTAAATCACACAACACTGTTACAGCAACTGTATTTTGTAGAACCTGACCAATTCTTTCAGACTGCCAAAATTGTGCAGGTTTAGTTCCTTGGTTCTCAAAGCTCCCAGTCAAGATAGGGATGGAGAAGGCAGCCTTTTCTTAAAAGGAAATTACCAGTCCTCCTTCAGGAGCCAATTGTACATGCATTATTATTAGGATACTCTCCAAGTAGGAGGTCAACAAATACTCAACATTTCAAGCATTCCTGGATGAGATGTACTTTAAGTGTTGTCTAAATAATCAGAGATGTATGAATAGTCCAACTGGAAGATCATCTGGCAACTGCTAAAAAGAATTTCATTCCATTACCTGCTTCATGCCAATCCCTGATTTACTTCGATATCACTATAGGATGTATTGAAACACTTTGAATGATTGTTTTGTTTGGAAATAATTCTTCAGTCCAGAAAAAAAGGGTAAAGGTTAAATTGGGGTGATGGAGAACAACCTCACCAGTTCGCCTTCTGGTAAAAGATTCGTTTGTAATTGGCCGTGACCATAACAGCATTATGTGTTAACCCTTCCTATGGCAGCTATGAAATTCTCAAAATTTCAAGTATACATCCACTGGTCTGAAAGTTACTGATCTATGATAGGTTATCAGACAGGTAACCAAATTGAGACTAATAAAAATTCAAATTCATATGACCATTTTAAATTATCTACAGTATGAGCTTGATAATCAATTCACTGTAATTGATATCTTAGAAGTACAGATCAGCCAAAAGATCTCAAAGCCAACTCAAAAAAGATAAATTTTTATTTCTTACAAATGCTTTTAAATTATAATGTCACAAAATATGTCTGCTCTGAGTAAAGTGGGGAGTACTATCTGGCATCTCTCATCTACAGCATAACCAATCCACAACAAATAAGCAAGAGTATCTACATTAGTAGCTGGTGGTGTCTGGTTAAGTAGAGGAAATCTGGCTGGAGATGCGGTTGGCAGATGATCAGAAATCAAAAGTTCCAGTCATTTTAAGACTAGGGCATGGAATGATAAGAAGAAAGCTTACAAACATTCTAACAATATGCTTAGTGAGATGCATGGCTATTTATGTTCTAGGCTGCCAAGCTGCACTCAGATACATGATTAATCACATGATTAAGCCACAGCTTGTGAGTCTTACTCCCAAAGAGCACAGCCTTGCAGTTTTGCACATCTGTTCACTGGATGGTGTTGTTGTTCTTTAGGGTTTAGGTTTTATAAACCTGGCTCAGAATCTGCTAAGGCACACTCTAATGTGAAGATGTTTGATTTAAGTTGTAGGGTGGCAAACTCATGAAAACAACATTTAAGTTGATTTAAGTTGTAGACCATGGCTTAACCTTTAGGTGATTGGCAAGCTATTGCTTTTGGGCAGCTGACCTTCACTCCTTCTCCTCATCTCCTCTGAATCACAGATGGACACTGCAAACTTCTTTCACTCCTTGTTCAAACACTATATAGTTTACTCAGCTATCAGCAATGGAAGCAACACTGACAAAAGAATATGCAATCATGAACATCTATGGCATCCTCCCAGGATTGTTGTTCTGAGCATATCCCCTCCTATCACTTAGATGCTAAACAGGTAAGTTCTTGATGGATAACCCCTTTTCTAGAACCTTAAGTTGAGATCTACTATGTATATTTTTTGTTTCAATAGGACATGTAATACTGCTTTCATTATGTAAACTGATTCCTTATGACAGCATGAACAGAGCACAGTTCTTATACAGCTGTTCAATAGCAAGCATTAAGGCAAGGAACGAGCACAAATTAATGTAAGAGTTGGTTCCCAGACTGATAGAAATTCAAAAGTACAGGTAGCCCTTAGGTTAAGAACCCCTGGTTTAAGGACAACCCAGTTAAGAATAGAGCCTATTGTAGCAAAATACAAGTTGAATACACAGTGATTTGAGTTAAATACACAATACTATTTATACAGTGTTATACAATAATACTGTTCCACCTCACATACAAATTCGACTTAAGGACAGACCTTGGGAACAGAACTCGTTCTTAAACTGGGGATTACCTGTAATGTAAAATCTACAGTGTGATGTAAAATCCAACTACAGACCTTCCTATTAGTGAAGAGAACTGCCTCCTTGCTAGGTCATCAGAACATTGTTAGAAAAAGGATCAGAAAGTTTCTACTCTAATGAACACATGAACATATTGGTTCTGAATTAAAAACAGTTCAGTGGCTGGAATTCTTATAACCCCATACCATCTCCCACATTAAATCTTGCCAAAGAAAATGTTGTGAGAATCATGCTTAGAAAAAAATCACTTTGGGTTTGACAGCTGTCGAAGTGTCTGTTGTCAGCTTAAAAACCTATCTCTTATGTAGAGACATGTTGAACATTGCACTCAGTGAAGGATAGCTGGTCAACCCAACTGTCCTGCTGATATGTCATGTAATACAGCAAATATTATTCTAAGATGACACAGTTCACTCTGTCTGACCATCAGATTGAGGATGGCAAGTAACAGTAAGATGTAACTCCATCACCAAAGTTTCTAATAGTATTATCTATTATGAATTGCACTGTAAATTTTGCACCTAAGTCAGAGATGACACAATAAGGCAATCCAGAGTTGAACATACTCATCAGCAATTGGCAGATACAAATAGGGGTTAAAACCATAATAAAAAACAGTCCCGTATCACAGGAATAGTGGTGTAACCCACGGTTCAGTCAGGCAGTTCAAAGATGAACACCCACGAAGGCAGTCTTCCAGGTGTCAAGCCTTTTGAGGGTGGCAAACTCATGAAAACAAGAACCACTTAGATTTCTGGAATGATCTTTATGGCTAACAGGGTAATGGAACAGAATCTTGAAAACCTGCCAAAGCAATTCTCCAGATCAGCTTATACCTAGTATAATTAAAGTGGAGTTATTCTGAGTCTCTTTCCCACATTTTCTCTCTTCCCTGGCCTAAGGAATCTTTGCTTCAACTCTCCTGCCCCCTCCTCTGTGTTCCCAGGGTCTGTTAGACATTCTATCACACAGGGCCTCATGAGTTTGTGCAGTGGCATGAGAAGTTTACTATGAATGGAGGATGCCAGGCCAATACTGCTTTTATCCTGACCAAATCTATCAGAATTCCTGTCAGAGAAGCAAAATGTTCAAGAAAATCCACCAACGATAGACTGAAAGTGCTAACTGGCATACAGATTATATTTATGCAGCCTTTGTAACATCAATCTTATGTGTCTCTCTTGTTGATACAGGTCAATGGACTATATCAGCCAAACATACAAATAAACAATTAGACAAAGATCTAATAGGTCCCTACAGATATTGTTCATAAACTGTTGGAAGACTGCCAGGGGCATTGCATAGTCTGAACACCATTAGGGCTAGGTTTGATAGGAAGATTTTCACTCATTTCTTGCTATGATGTATATCAGATTATATGCCTCCCTCTCCCAGTCCAATTTGCATAAACAATGACGTGGCACAAGTGGTCTATAAAAAAGGAGATCAAGGGTAATAGGTACCACTTTCACTCTGTAACTCTGCTCAATACTAGGTAGTATTAAAAAGACCTTATTTTCCAATTTTTTTAAACATCATATAATACAAAGGCTATAGTCAAAGGAATGAGTGGTCATATGAAGCCCTTCCACAGATGCTCCATCAGAAAACATTGAAGGTTGTCAATTCCAGTTCTGTGTTAATCTTTCCTAAGAAAATCTGTGCCAGGAAAAAAATCAATAGCACACTCAAAAGATCCATGTTCATACCGATAGCAACAGCCCTCCTAACTTAGAGAAAAGTCTTCTTTGTTGATAATCCTGGTGTAAGCCATTAGAAGTTCAAGCCATGTTTTTCATGAACACCAGCCAAAAGGAAAACTATTTCATTCTACAATCAAAGCATGAGAGGATTATGGGTTCATAGCCAAGAAAACCCTAGCACCAATGGGAACCGATTAGTTTACCAAATTGAAGCATGCTTCTTAATGTCTTTGTAACCACATCAACAAAGAAAGGGTCTTCCATAAATGTTTCCAACCATCATGGGGAGAGGGTCCTAAAGAAGAATGTGAAGGTTTTTATCAAGTCAGTACCAATGGAAGTACTAGAACTTTGCCTCTATAGAAATCTGCAGCCAAACAGGCAAGCAGATAAGTACAGGAATGGGGCACTTCCTTTATGACTTCTGGAGGGGCTGTGAGATTTTTTTCTTCTAACTTGTACTCCCTGTGGGCTCCAAGAGGGCCCATTTTCCATATGGGAGAGATGAATCCTTTTTCCTGAGTACAGTACTTGTCAGTTGAA